TTACCACCTCTCCATAAAGTTTCCCACCGACCAGGGGGTCGGGACAGTACGGGGAGAGCAGACCATAGCGAGAGAATGTTACGTCGCCTCACTCAAGGAAGTCAAGCTAAAAGAGGCCATGATCATTGAAGGACTTGACGCCCGAGATGAGGACGAGCTAGTCAGAGGCGAACTGGTGGAGGAGCTCGTTGAGATGCCCATCAATCCCACCAACCCAATGAAAACTGCTAAGATCAGCAGCCAGCTATCCCCCCAAGCTAAGGCCGACCTTACTACCCTTCTGACCGAGCACAATGATGTATTCGCCTGGACTCATTTAGATATGCCAAGCATCGACCCTTCTTTCATAACTCATCGCCTCAGCATTGAACCTCATTTCCGACCTTATCGCCAGAAGCAGCGCATCTTTCATCCGGAGCGCAATACTCTTATAGCCGCAGAGGTCGACAAACTCCTTGAGGCCCAATTCATCAAAAATGTCGACTACCCTAAATGGTTGTCAAACGTGGTCCTCGTCCGCAAGAACAATGGCAAATGACGACTCTGTGTCGATTACTCTGACTTGAACCGAGCTTGCCCCAAAGACAGCTATCCTCTGCCCCGCATAGATCTGCTGGTCGACGCCACAGCCGGTCATCAAATGCACAGCTTCATGGATGCTTTCTCTGGCTACAACCAAATCCTGATGCACCCGTCCGATCGGGAACATACATCCTTCATCACCGACCGAGGTACCTACCATTACCGAGTAATGCCATTTGGATTGAAGAATGCTGGGGCCACCTACCAACGATTGGTCAATGCCGTCTTCCATCACCAAATAGGTCGGAATATGGAATTATACATCGGCGACATGCTAGTCAAGAGCAAACTCTCCACTGACCATTTAACTGACCTGCGGGAGACCTTCGCCACCCTACGCAAGTACCAAATGAAGCTCAACCCAGAGAAGTGTGCCTTCGGCGTAGGATCCGGGAAGTTTTTGGGTTTTATGGTCAGTCAGCGGGGCATTGAAGCTAACCCTAAAAAGATCATGGCCTTGGTCGAGATGCAGTCACCCAGAACGGTTAAAGAAATTCAAAGACTCACTGGCTGAGTTGCAGCCCTCAATCGTTTCATTTCCCGCGCCACAGATAAGTGCTTACCATTCTTCAAAGTTCTTCGGCAAACTTTTGAATGGACATCTGAGTCCGAAGAGGCTTTTCAGCAGTTGAAACAGTGCATGGCCAACCCTCCCCTCCTTTCACAGGCAATCGTGGGCGACCCCTCTTCCTCTACTTAGCCGTGTCAAACACCGATGTCAGTGCAGCACTTATCAGGGAAGACGGCTTTGTCTAATGACCGGTCTACTACATCAGTCGGGCCCTCAGGGGAGCGGAACAGAACTACCCACTGTTACAAAAATTGTTCTTGGCCTTGGTCACCGCCTCCAAATGACTCCGTCCTTACTTCCAAGCCCATTCCATAGTGGTCCTCACCGACCAGCCCTTGAAGAAGGTCATGCAGCAACCAGAACTTTTGGCAGACTCATGCAGTGGTCAGTGGAACTCAGCCAGTTTGACATCTCTTACCGACCCCGAACAGTAATTAAGAGGCAGGCTATAGCCGACTTCATCCTGAAATTCACTAATCCTACCCCGACCACTGCCTCTCCACCCCTAATAACCCCCAACGAGCCAGAAGACCCTCATTCTTGGACTCTCAATGTCGACGGATCATCCCGCAGGCAAGGTAGTGGGGCGGGCCTCATCCTCACCGCCCCTAAGGGTGGTTATTTCAAATGTGCACTCCGTTTCTTGTTTGAAGCCAGTAACAATGAGGCCAAATATGAGGCACTGATAGCAGGCCTTTGCCTAGCCAGGGACATTGGTGTCAGCCACATCCGAGTGCTTAGTGACTCCCAGCTCATCATTGAACAGATCACGGGAGATTTCGATGCCAAGGAGGACACAATGCGGGCTTACATGGATCTTGCACTTCCCCTTGTTCGCCTCTTCAATACTTTCCACATCAAGCACATTCCTCGGGCGGAGAACTCTAAGGCAGATGAGATGGCCCAGTTGGCTTTCGCAGACCAGTCTGACCTCAGCAGTGGTGTCCGCCTCGAATACCTATCCCACCTCTCCATTTCTCCCGACCAGCATGAAATCCAATTCCTCCAAAATGAGCCCATCCCTTGGGCATCGGACATTTTTCTATTTCTGACAACGGGGGAACTTCCAGACGACCAACAGCAAGCCGCCAAAGTCAGGGCCCGGTCGTCCAATTACATCCTCGTCAGCGGTATTTTGTACAAACGTGGTTTCTCACGCCCTTATCTGCGGTGCCTCAATCCGACTCAAGCAACTTATGTGATGGAAGAAATTCATGAGGGTATCTGCGGCAATCACTCAGGCGGCAGGTCTCTGGCCCACAAGATACTTCGCACTGGATATTTCTGGCCTACTCTCAACCAAGATGCGACTGACTTCGTGCTCAAATGTGATAAGTGTCAGCGTTTTGCCAGTATTCCCCGTGTCCCTCCTACTGAATTGATCACACTTTGCAGCCCCTACCCGTTCGCCAAGTGGGGGATTGACCTAGTTGGCCCCTCACCACCGGCCGAGGCCATACCAAATTTGCCATTGTCGCCATTGATTATTTTACTAAGTGGGTAGAGGCAGAACCCCTTGCCACCATTACTGAGCAGAACACAACCAAGTTCACACCATTACCGAGTGGAACACAACCAAGTTCATCTGGCAGTCGATCATTTGTAGATTTGGCATTCCCCAGGCCATTGTTTCCGACAATGGCAAACAATTCGACAACGCCAAGTACAGGAAGTTCTGTGCGGACCTCCAAATTCAACTATGTTTTTCTTCCCCCGGACATCCCCAAGCCAATGACCAAGTTGAGGTCACCAACTGTTCTCTTCTGAAGATCATCAAAACCAAGCTAGAAGCTGCCAAAGGGCTTTGGGCTGAGGAACTACCAAATGTACTTTGGGCTTACCGAACTACAGCACAGACTCCCATTGGGGAAACTCCTTTTCGCTTGGCATACGGCACTGAGGCGGTTATTCTGGTAGAAGTTAGTCTGCCTACCCCTAGAGTTTTACATCCGGATCCAACACTAATGGAAGAGCTCCGTCGGGCAGACCTGGACCTAATTGAAGAACTTAGAAAAACCACTGCTGTCAGACTGGCCTCATACCAACAGAAAATGCGAACACACTACAACCACAAAGTCCGACCAAGGGAGTTCACTGTAGGGGACCTTGTCTTGAAAGAAGCAACCCTTGCTACCAAAAATCTGACTGAGGGTAAACTTGCACCCAAATGGGAGGGACCTTACATTGTGAAGGCCCGACCGCGTCCGGGCACTTACCGACTTCAGGACATGGAAAGTCGAGATTTCCCTCACCCCTGGAACGCTGAACACCTGAAGCGCTACTTTCAATAAGTCCCTACTGTTGTATTGCTCAGTTGTTGTATTTTCTTTTTGTTTTGTTACATAATGTAAACTTGTATCGACTGAATTACACTGATCATGGCAACAATTCTATACCTTGGCTATCTATGTGTTGTCTCCATAACATTCTCATTTGCAGCACTTATTACAAGTCTCAGCCAGACCGACCGTCAACAGCCTCAGCCAGACTGAGCACTCAAAAAGCCTCAGCCAGACTGAGCACTAAAAGCCTCAGCCAGACTGGGCACTAAAAGCCTCTGCCAGACTGAGCACCAAAAGCCTCAGCCAGATTGAGCATCCAAAGCCTCAGCCAGACTGGGCACTAAAAGCCTCAGCCAGACTGAGCACGAAAATGCCCCGGCCAGACTGAGCATTAAAAGCCTCAGCCAGACTGAGTATCAAAAGCCTCAGCCAGACTGAGCGTATTTCAAATGTGCACTTGAGCATCAAAAGTCTTAGCCAGACTGAGCATCCAAAGCTTTAGCAAGACTGAGCACAAGAGCCTCAGCCAGTTGAGAATCAAAAACCTCGGCCCGACCGAGCACTAAGAACCTCGGCCCGATCGAGCAGTAAGAGCCTCTGCCAGACTGAGCAAGAGGCACTCGGCCTGCCTAACAAGTCTTAGCCAGACCAAGCGCCACAGCCCAAGGGTCAGACACAGGTTATTTTCTCTTCAGTCAAACCCTCACAAGTTAGCTCTCTCCTCCTCACAAACCACGCCTCCCTCCATGAACCACTAACTTACCTGAGCAATGTGGCAAACACACACTTGTAATTTTACTACATTTCACAAGTTTAACTTTACTCTGCACTGAGTTTTTATCAGAAGTTTAACTTTACTCTGCATCGAGTTTTTTATCGCAAGTTTAACTTTACTCTGAGTTTTTATCAGAAGTTTAACTTCACTCTGCATCGAGTTTTTTATCACAAGTTTAACTTTACTCTGCATTGAGTTTTTTTTATCACAAGTTTAACTTTACTCTACATTGAGTTTTTTTATCACAAGTTTAACTTTACTCTACATTGAGTTTTTATTACAAGTCCAATTTCGCTCTGCCTTAAGGAGTCTACCCAATCCTTATTACAATTTCAATCCCACTCTGTCTTGACGAATTCCTAAATGCAGTTTTTATCACAAGCTCACCACAAGTTTTTATCACATGTTTTCATCCATTTCAGATGCACAAGCAAAAATAGTGAAATGCACAATACAACTGAAATTTCATTTATCCACAAACTTTATACAAAAGTTCATTACAGCAAACTTTATACAAAAGTTCATTACAGCAATTCAAAAAAAAAAAAAAACAATAACAAAAACAATGTCGATGCCCAGTCTTTTTCTCCTTCCTCCCCAGTTACTCCTCCTCACTGGAGAGGAGGTCTTCTTCTTCAATGCCCTCGTCCAGGGGGGTTTGGGCCACATCGTCTTCGCCAATCGTTACACTACTAAGGTCTAAGTCTGGGAGCAGCTCTTCAGCTCTACGTTTGAACGTCTTCCAGCCACTGTCCCAGTACTCAGCCATTTCGTGCTTATAAAAGTCTAACTACTGGAAGCTTTCAATAACTTCTGCTTCAGTTCTTCCTCCAACAGTCGTCCTCGATGGGCCCGTCCCCCTAGATTCTTGCATAGTCAGGCTGCTCGCGACCGCGACAACAACCACCATTTGAAATTTGGCAGACCCTTTGAATTGCTCCACTGCTGCGACGCATAGATCGGGATAAGCCGCCCTTTCAGAGGCTGCCTTCGCCCTCTCTTCGTCCAGCTCTTTTTGCAGGGCCGCCCTTTCCGACGCAGTTTTTGCCTTTTCCGCCTCCAATTCCTTCTTCAGGCTCTCCTTCTCCGCCGTCGCCTGCGCTCTCTCTGTTTCCAACTCCTTCTGAAGCCTCCCCTTCTCCTCTATTGCCTTAGCGCGCTCGCTCTCTAGTTCCTTCTGGAGATCGCCCACTTTGCCATCGGCCTCATCTTTTTGCCTGACCAGCTCTTCATTACTGCTCATGGCCTCTTCATGTTGCTCGACCGCGACGGCGCAGGCTCTTTGGGCCTCCTCCAACTTCTTCTGCTCGTCAGCAAATTGGAACTCGAGCGACACAACCTGGCGGCGTGTGCTCTCCAGCTCCACCTCAACTGCTTGCAGATCAGCATGGGCAGCTTTCCAACTCGCCCTCTCCCTCTCCAACTTTGCAAGCTGGGCCTTGCCCTTATCTGCCTTGAGTTTCGAAACCCCTGCTAAGGTGGTTACCTCAATTTGTGCGGAGCATAACCTCCTCAGCAGTTCAGCCTCGTTGAATCTGGATGCCGAGCACAGGGCTGCCTCTTCTACGATCCCCACTAGGCGGTCTGCCCCTGCCCTAGCTGGGCCTTCTTCTCACTCCAGCCGCCCAGCCACCGCGCGAGCGTGGTAGATTGCTATGGTCAGACCAACTCCCCCTCCTTGGGGTGTAGGGCCCCCCTGGGGCTGCTCTTCTCTTCTTAAGCCAGGGCCGTTTGCCCCATCTTCTCCTTGCCCTTCAGGGACGACCCTCGCGACCCCCGCGGCGATCCCCACCACCACTGGCACCACCTCCATGCCCTCTGAAGCAACATCCACCGTTTCTGGGCCACCTACCCTTCCTGGGGTCCCCTCCACTTCTCTCCCCTCAGCCCCGTTGGCAGCACTGGTTTCTTTCACACTTGTCTCCCTCCTCCTCTTCTGGGCAGACACTTCCTCACTCCGCCTCACCCTTTTCTTCTTCTTTCCCACGCCCAACGCCTCTATCTCCTTCAAAGACCTCTCTTTCAAAGGGTCTATTGGGGGCAGCCGTGGCACAAAATCGCCTAAGTTTTTCTCTCCCAAGGGTTTGGGGCGGGGTCGAATCCTCTCCCTCACAACCGGTTTTGGTGGTCGGTCGACCTGGGACTCTTTGAATTTTTGGGCTTTAGCCAGGATGGCCTGATCCTCTGCCTCCTGAGCCCTTCTCCTCGCCTCCAACTCCGCCCGGTCGAGGTCCCCACTACTTGGCCTTGGACCCAACCTTGCCTCAAACAATGCAAACGGCTGAACGAGCTCGTCCCATTTGGCCCCTTCTTTCTCCCTCCACTCCTTCACCCTCTTCACCCTCCCCTCCTCGGTTGCTCCCAGTTTCGGCTCCACAGACCTGATGGGCACTTTCCAAATGGTGCGCACTCCAAGTCCCCCATTGGCAGACACGTAGAACCATCGTGGTCGCCACCCTTTGATCAACGACGATAGCCCCGCTACCAACCCTCTCCTCACTGCTACCTGCAGAGTGACCCACGTCTCCTGTTGCCCCAAGGCCTTATAACATGCAAAGAATTCGTCTACTGTCATAGCCTTCCCTCCATTCGCTTTAGGCCACGCACTTGCGCAGGCCAGCAGGATCTTCCATGCATTGGGCATTAGTTGCCCCGGTGCTACCTCCAGACGGTTGAGCACATTCACCACCACTTACGGTAGTGGCAACCTCAGTCCACCCTTCAGAGCTTCCTCATAAAGGGAAAACTCTCCTGGCCTGGCGTCAGACGGCCTTTCCGTTGATGTCGGCAGCAATAACTCCACTTCCCCAGGGATCTGGTATTTTTCGCAGATAGCTTCCAACTCCGCCTCAGTAATCGTGGATTTGTCAACCTTCGTGTGCCAATGATCTGGTTCCGCCTGGCTGATTGGCTTTGGAGCTGTTATCATGGTGGAACCGTGGGATCGTACCACCGACTCCCTCACTCTCTCTGTCCTATACTGCGCCTCTAGCTCCACAGCATCGTCATCTCCAAGTGGGTCTACCCTGACAATCGCATTCCCTTCTTGGCCATTTCTGTGGTATGTTTGTGAATCGCTTCGGCGGTAGGTACAAGGAAATCGAAAAAGTGTTACAGAGGTGTATTGTGAGCAACAAAGGAATTCACACTTGGAATATTTTGATTTTTTGTAAACAGGTAGGTGAATCGAATAATGCCAAAAGCCCACGGTTTTCTCGTATTCCAAGGATCCCAATTAATTTTCGCCAGTTTGAAAACTTTTCAAAATCATCCGCCAAAACTGTCTCTTCAACACCCATAATGACTTACCGTTTCACTTCTGATCCAACGCCTAATCTTTACCCCTACGGGATGTTGCCACGTGTACGTCCACGATCCACTATCTCCTCCCCTTACCTTGCCTTTTCCACTTTAACTCACCACGTGACCCGCCACGTCTCGAGCCCCACGCCTCTCCACCTCATCCTTTACGGTCGGCCCTCCTTGCTGCCGACCATACCACTCGGCCAACACCGCAGTCGGCCCTCCTCGTGGTCAGCCCTACCACTCGGCCAACACCGCGATCGGCCCTCCTCGCGGTCAGCCCTCCCGCTCGGCTAAACGCCGCGGTCGGCTCTCCTCGTGGTCAGCCCTCCCACTCGGCCAACACCGTGGTCGACCCTCCTCGCGGTCGGCCCTCCCGCTTAGCCAACCACCATGGTCGGCCCCCCCGTCCCCTCGCGGTCGGCCCTCCTTGGTGTCGACTGTCCCGCTCGGCCAACCTCGCGGTCGGCCCTCTCCGTGATCGGCCCTTCCACTCGGTCGCCCTGCGCAGTCGGACCACCTCCCGGTCGGTTCACCCCCCTCGATCACCCCTTCCGGTCGACCTCCATCCTACCAATCCCTAACACACTCATCTACATCACTAATATTCCCTTCGTTGGACAAAAGCTGCACTCGGGAATGGGGGACTACGGACATGTATAAGCCCATAAAGGCCACGAATCACCTATGGCCCATCACTTGAAGCCCAGTGCATAACCCAGCTGGTGAGGTCCAGGACAGCTGGAGTCCAACATGGTATAAAGAGCCAATGACATTCAGACACACGGCAAGAGAAGGATGAGCCACATCAGTAGACAAAGATCTGCAAAGTTATTGCCACTGTACATAACCATTAATGCAGCCCATCACAGCATTTATTACGACAACATCTCTTCGGCGGAACAGGACCCCCTTACCCTGAGCAAGGTAAGCTACAACATAGGCTTTCGGCGAGGAGAGCAGGTCGGAAGGGACAGCGAAATGATTGCCAAAGGATATAAGCGAACGTTGTAGACAAGAAAAAGGTTAAGCTTTCTATCTCTAATCTCCCCCCATATACTCTACTTCTCTTCCTAACTTGATCGTCGGAGGGTTCACTGGGGGACTACCCCGTTCCCTGTTGAACTTGTTTGCAGGATATCCGGTGGGCTCGATCATTTGGGCTTGGGCTTGGGCTTGAGGAGCTTGGACCAGTTCGCTCCATTCACTGGGATAAACTGTATCAACACATGTCAAAAGAATTCAGACCTTATTTATCACACAAAAATGAACATTAGTGTTTTTATCATAATATTCAGATGTACTAAATTTAAAAAATGAATATTAGAGTCTTTTTGTGTTCTTATGAATTTTGATGGGTCTACGAGAAGCTTCAACAACTCAAAGGACCATAAGCATTCTAAGAGCTCCTCCGAGAAGCTCGTTAAGAGCACTGCCTCTGGTGAGAAATATACAATACCCGTTTTGATTCTTGGTCCCTAGTATGCAATACTCATTGTGTTTTCATCTGGGTAACTGATAAATTTTGATATAGGGACTTGGGAGGATATGATTTATTTTTACCAGTTATTACCAGTACAGATAGATTTATTTTTTATTTTTATTTTTTATGGTGGAGTGGCTTTAATTTGTTGTTTCACTAAGTTTATTCATTAAGTAACAAATTGGGATTCGATTTATGGTAAGAATAGAGGTATTGGCTAGTTTCTACAAATGTAAGGTCCAATATGGATGTCAGTAATGGCTTTGGTAATAGGATGGACAAGGACGTGTCTCAGATTTGTGCAGAGGTTTTACATACAAGTAGTTCATCTCCTCAAGAGCTTGGAGATTCATTTACAAATCATGTGAGTGAAGCGATGGCTGTCTATAATTCTGCTTCTGCTTCTCCTTCTGCTTCTGTTGTTTCAGATTCACCAGTAACTTCTCACCTGTTAAGGGATGATTCTCTTCAAGAGACCATATCTCTAGGTCTTGGATTTCTTGTTTCAGATAGGGAACGAGGCCAGGGAGGTGGAAGTGCACTTCAAGTTAATGTAGTGAGTATATCTTCCAGAATTTTGTCTAATAGTTCCATTGAAATAAGTAATCGTGAAGCAAGACAGAATAGTAGAGACTATTTTGAGATGCTTTTTCAAGACGCAATTCTAGAAGGCTTATTTTATATATATATATATATATATTTGAAAATTAGTTCTAGAAGGCTTATTGATTCCCAAACATTTGTTTTCTCGACTGATGATGACAATAATGATGGCCTACGATCTCATGACAGATGGCTCTTTGATTTTAGTGGTGATTTCTTTGATGATGAGATTGGTGGTGATTCCGGGTACACAAAAAGTAGAACTCACAGCATGAATGAACAATGTTGGCATTCAACATTTGAGCTGGCTTTTAAGTACTCTCTTCTGACTAAAACCCCCATCAATTTTGAACTGATTTTGTATTTCTTTTGGCTAATGCATATCTTTTTTTGACGCATTTAGAGTAGCTCCACTCGCTGTATCTTTGTTCCTTGATGAAGCCATCATGCATTTCATACTTAATATTAGACATTATTTCATTAAATGCTTAAGATATCTCATACCGCTCAATATCCCTGCTGGTTGACATCTTCTCGAATTTCTTCTCTATTTCTTTTTGCATGATCAATGGATCTTTGCACTCCATTTCGCAGAGCCTCTAAAGTTTCAACTTGGATTGTCAAATTTTCAATGTATTTCGTTTTGTGAATCACAAAACTGAACTGGCACCCAACTAGCTCCACCAATAATTCCGTAACTTTTCCTCCAATGGAAATTAGAATATCTGTCATGTCTAAGGAAAAACAATGTATAAGCAACGCTTAAAAATAGCTGATGTATTACTGTTATTAATAACAAAGCACTTGTGTCTAGGATCTACCTCTTACACTTATATCTTTGGGTTTAGTTTTTGACTAATTATATACAACATTTTTTTTATTCTATCTTGCTGAAGGTTATGGACAAGTTTATTCAAAAGAGTTCGGTATCAAGTGATATATATGTTATAGCCAATAGTAGACGTAGAAGAGAGTTAGAAGAGAGGAAGTATTACCAGGCTTAATAAATCTCCATGTTTGTTGTCCTCTGCTTCAATGGCTCTGTCCAGTATACCTCCAATCGTGTGACTGGTAATGTAGAAACAGCAGATTATATCATTTAGTATGTCCAAAACTGTACTCTATGATTGTTAATCTACAAGGACAATATAGTAAGATTAATTTCCAAATGTGTGATGTATATTCATGGGGTTTGAAAAGACAGTGTTCAGTGAATAAAGTAAGATTACAGTATCATGATTGTCAAGTTTCAACAACAGCAACAATGGGGATGCATGGAGGAACATGTCTCTTCATTTGTTGCTAGTAAATATGACGTATGAACTGAAAGCTGTTGTCTCTTTCATATGTTAAACTTGTTAGTTAATTTTGTTAATCTTACATCGTTTTCTCTTAGGCCACTCGGATACTAGAATCTAGGAGTAATAAATTGACAGATATAAATACTTCGGGAGTGACAACCTTGAAGGATCTGTCTGATTAATTACAAATCTTTAAATGCAGGTTTTGGAGTTGGGGATGAATTTTTGTACTGCAGATGACATGAGTGCAATACTTGCTGAAAGAGAATGGGTTGCGGAATGTGGGTGAAGTTGCACCTGCCAGGCATGCATCTTGAAGGGAAGGTAACAACTAGTATATTCTTATTTTTAGACTAGACTGTGTATGCATGCTATATTTTGTCATTTGTATTATATGTTCATAACCTATAATGAATTTGAATATTATATGAACGTTGAAAACTGTATTAAGATATCTGTTAGACTTGTGGTTAACAAATTAGAATAATATAGTAGTCTTTATGCATAATGGAACTCCTTATCTTCCACGAGCAAACTAATGCCACAGTGCACTCATCTTTGTAATCTATACCTCTAATTAAGAGAATTCTTAAATCGGCCCACTGGTTGGTATTTGGTCACCATTGGGTAAGATGAAGAATATGGGTCTGCACCAACCCACAGATTGTGGCCTATAGATCCACCACCACTACATCCTGCTGATATGGAGCAGTCCTGGTTGGAAGAAACAAGTAAAATGAGAGAGAGACTCTTACCATCTAGTGTAAAATGGAGCAGTCCTGCTGATATGAAGTTTATTAAACCTTACCCTCTAGTGTTACTGCAACAACAAACAACAAATAATGGATGCTAACAAATAATGTAGTGAATGCTAACAAAAAATGG